AATTGTCCCCACTTCACAAATGAAGAAACTGAGGCATAGAAAGGAGACACTGTGCAAAGCCACACTTGGCAGTGTTTTCAGATCCCAGATTTTTAACTACTATGTTATCCCATAAAAGATGCAGATCTCAACAGTCCCCCATCTCAACTTTCCCAGCACAATTTTATTAGCCAGATACTTATGGAGCTCCCCAAAGCCTACAGAATGTTTACTGGCACTTGAAAGGGGGTAAGTTTTTTACCAAGGCCCGACGTTGCTTTAAACACCATGTGACTCTGAGTTCCTCATTTCACTTCTAGAAGCTCCAGGTCTCCAGCTGCTCAAGATATCCAGCCCACCTGGCTTGCAGATCCGTTACTACTCATGAAGTTCAAATAAGGTGACATATGTGAAGTCCTGTAAACATTGTAAAATGTTATCTGAAATGGCAATTTCCCAGCCTGTCATTGCCATAAATTACTTTTAAATGTTGAAAAGGTAGAAAGAGTATATTAGTTTTGCAAAATCATCTATGTCAAAAATCAGACTTTCCAGAGCTCTAGGGTAGGTAGTCAAGTACCAAATCTGCAGGACTTTGCAGAGCAAGAGAAAAATACTACTTCTACTTGAAAAGTGGACTATTTATCATGGGTCAAGGTAATGAAAATTTTAGGAGCTTGAGAATCAGATCACCTGGTGCTGGTTATGGCCCTGCCACTAACTGACCTTGAATGAGTCTTTCTCTCTCCCCTCCCAGGAGGTACAACGCTACTTGGTGGCCAAAAACGTGATTTCGGGAGTCAGGCTGCCAGAGTTAAATCCCAGCTCCATCACCTACCTCCTCAGGAGGTGGTGACCTTGGGCAACTCAGGTTAACTGCACTGGTCGCAGTTTCCCAATTATAAAAATGAGAATAAGAAACAAAAACATACTTTGAAATCATGCCAAAAATGGTTTGATGAGTGGATAGAGAGGTGGACAGATAGAAATATGATAAAGCAAGTTAGTAAAGTGTTAACTGTAGAACTTGCATAATGAGTATATGGGTGTTCACTATACAATTCTTTCAACTTTACTCCCAAACATTTTATTTTTACAATAAAATATTGGGAAAACAAACAAACAAAAAGGCCACAACAGGTTTGTTAGAAGAGTTGGATGAGACATAGAGCTCTCAGCAATGCTCACAGTAAATGCCTGGTGCACATTATCGATGGTTATTTACTGTACAGATGGAAGATGGAACAAGATGATAGATCCCTTCAGCTCTTACAATCTGCAAATCAGAGCAGTGCAAAGTGAGCCGGAGACCTGACATGAATGAGCAGAATGAGAAGCCAGGCCACATGACACAGAAACCCGAGGGACAGAGAGGAGTGCGGATGCAGCCATCTATGTATCAGAAACCAAGAGGTATGCACAAATGGACGCAGCAGGACCCTACGCAGGAACACCGAACGTGGGCGGGGCGGGGCGGGGTGTGGGGGGAGGGGAGGACCCTGAAAAGGAAGGCTGGTTATCTTTAGTAGATGCCAAATTAATATGTTTCTCTATTAAACATCCTTTTGGTAGGAGAAAAACACTGGATTTGGAGTCAAACCTGAGATCAAATCCTGTCTCTGCCACATTAGTGGTGTGACAACAGGAGACATTCATTCAAGTGTTCGCTGGACCGCCTGTACTTGGGATATTCACAACTACAAAAGTTAGCCCCATGGCGACTATGCTTCTGCTATGACCTCTTGGCCATAACTAATTGGGCCAATCAGATTTATTTTCTTGAGAATTTGAACAGAGAGATAGCACACTCTTGGGAATGTGTCACATTAATGGCAGAACTATGGGGAAAAGATCATGAACTCCTGGAAGTGAGTTCTCTAGAGATGACCTGGTTCCCATCCATCCTGTGGTGCAGTTCCTTGAATCCATGACAAAAGCCCCAGTATTGTTCCAATAAGTTCCAAGTTTTGCTTAAGCATTGTATTGACTTTTATTATGTGTAAGCAAAAATATATATTTACTAATACAATTAGTCTTCTAACTAATACAAGAGTTTTCTTAATGTTTCCAGGCCTTGGTTTCCTCATCTATAAATGTGATAAACCCCTCGTCTCTCAGGGTGTTTATTTGATGCAAAAATAAAAAATAACCAGGTGTGTACAACTCCTCCATAGCACATAGCAAATATTCAATGAACATCATTTAATTTGTATCTCAGTTTCAGCACATCTAGATCTTCCTGAGCAAGTACTTGGAGTCCCTTTGTTTAGGTGGCGGACATGTGGTCACACAAAAAAGAAACAGATGCTGACAGTCAAGAAGAAGGAAGGGGTTGAGTGTGAAATTTGGTTTCAAAAGAAACTTTTCCTGATTCAGATTTTTAAAATTTAACATAAATGTTCTGACTTAAGCTTCTGTTGGGTTTCTTCATGGTGCTAATATTAATTTGAAAGAGGAAGAAACACAAAGCACCAACACAGGACATAAAAGCTAGATGAACAGGTAACATGTCTTTCTTAATCTCAGGGGAACTAGTCAGAATTTATCTGGCAGTAAACAAGATAGCAAAGGGCTTTTTATTTGGATTTTCCTGTAAGTAATGAGGTATTTTATCATCCAAATTGAAGTAGCAGTGGGGGTGGGTGGAGGTCTGGACCATGAACAGATCTAAGATCAGAATTAATCCAACATAGAAGTACCACAGCTGAGGCTTTTCTGAAATTCAAAATGAGAAGCAAAGCTTAGATGCTTAATGAGAAATGTCCACTCGTCCCTAGCAGTTACTATTCTTTCCATCTTGATCTATCCATTGATTCTTGTGAATCTAAATGCTCAGGTATCTTAAAAATATGATTATCTTTTTATTAAAAAAAATCTCAGGTGGATGGGTTGTGAGCTTTACTTAGTTACTTAGGTCTTAACCACGTGGATCTCAAATTGTGGTACTTGGACCAACAGCATCAGTTCACCTGGGAGCCTGTTAGAAATACACATTCTCAGACCCAACCCAGGAGCACTGACTGAATCAGAAACTCTGGAGGTAGGAGATCGCAGCATGCATTTTAACAGGTCCTATAGATGATCCTGATGCTCTTCACAGTTTGAGAACCACTGTCTTCTTAACCAAACTCTAAGGCTCTACTATCTATTCGGCAACCAGACCTGAGGATGTGTTGATATAGGGTCTTAGAGGAAACAGTCAACTTTCTGAAGGCTTGCCTTGGATTTTCAAGCTCAGTAGTAATTGGTAAGGTAGTCATTCTAACCTTATCAATAAACCCACTTGACAGCCATTTACATTGCCCTTATATTTCTCTCTGTCCAAAGGTGTACCACTTTGTACTGCATCTGTAGTATAAAAACAGCATGCAGAATAGAAGAATGAAAGTGCAGGTCAAGAATGTGGAAGGAGAAAGCTGATAAAAATATGGCAGCTCTAATTTTGGTAATAGAAGAGATATCTAAAGTTTAGATGACGGTGAAGGCTTAATTGAAAAAGAAATATCTCATTCATTGTTTGCTCCTTTGAGCCATCATTCCTTTCCCCTGAGCCCCTCTCCCCCAATTTACCCAACCCAGCCACCATTGCTCTCACCCTGGTGTATATGCCTTGGGGCTATTTCTGAATAACATGAATAATAAAGAGCAAGGAGAAGACAACAAAAGAGAGAAATCCCATTGTTTCAACTGGACACAACCACCAACCTCATGTCTCTAGCCTTTCTAGAAGCAGACTTGGTTCTACAATTGAACTAGAGGATCTTTCAGATCATTTCCACCCTGCAACATCAAGATGCATTTATGGAAGGCAGTTTCATGTGGGGCTTCAGAATATGGACTCTGGAGTCAGACAACACACCAACCAACCCCAGCTCTAACACGTCACAGCTGAGAGAAGGTGAGCACGTCACTCCCTCTAAGATTGAGCGACCTCATCTCTAAAATGGGGGGAATAAAAGCATCTCTCTTATAGGATTCTTAATGAAGATTAAACGAGCGTTTACAAGCATGCCTGGCACATATCAGGCATGGGCGGGAGTAATGTGAGCTATCAGGATTATTATTATATTGTCTCTGAAAGGCTTCTCAGCCTTCAGCAGCATCTTGAGCATTTCCAGACATAGCAACAAGGCGATGAGAAACCAGGAGGCATAAAGGTAAATGTGTGAGGTTGGCCACATTGGAAGGGGGTGGAAAAGCAGCTAGCAACACAGCAATTCATCCATGTATTAATACACTTCGTTGCAAGGTATTTCTGTACAAGGCCACAATACTTGGGTTTGAATTACACATACAACAATAGTTCTCAACAGGAGTTGGGGCGGGGGGACTTTGTCCCCCAAAGGGACATTTGATAATGTCTGGAGGCATTTTTGGTTGTCACAGCTGGCACCTGCCACTAACATTTAATGGGTGCCAGAGGTGCTGCTAAACATCCTATGATGCACAGGATAATCCCTCACAACAAAAAATTACCTAGCCCCAAACATCAAGAATACAGAGGTCTGAGAAACCCCGGATTATAATGTTGGGTGACGTTATCTTAATAAGAGTTGACACATTTTTTTAATTTTCAAACAGGCAATGGTATAGAAGATTCTGAACTTGATGGGAAGTGAGAATGGGTGACCTCTAAGGTTCCTTCATCTCTAAGGCTTGATATATGCAGTTGACCCTCCACCACAAACATAGGTCAACAGTGCATTTTCAGCCTTTTCCCCTTTGCCTTTTTCCTTTCCCTAAAGACAAACTGAATTTAAAAAAAAAAAAAAGATGGTTGGCTATTAGAAGGAAGCCCTAAACCATTAGGAGAAATGTTTCTTGCTAAAACAAAGAACATCAATGACAATTAGAGAATTTTAAAGCTGGAAGAAACCTTAGAAATGATTTAGCAGCTAGGTTTTAGTTGAAATTTTTCATCACATTTCACAAATGAAGATTTAGAATGGCCAAGATACTTGATCTAGGTCACATAATGCTGCAACCATCAGAAGACCCAGGTTCTTCAAAACAACACTTACTTAACTTACTAGTCAAACAGTCATAATATCAAAGGTCTCCTCTTTGTCCACTTGCTTTGCATATTTTTTTTCAGCGATCACAGTCTAGATCTGTTTCTTTTTTCCAGAAATCCCTTGAATATAGATTTCGCCTGATAAGGGAGTGGCAGTGGGAAGAAAACAAACAAACAAAAAAATTAGATTCAAGAGGTATTGAGGGAAAACTAATAAAACCTTCTGTGACCAGGACTAATGAAGGAAGAGAAGAAATAAAAAGGTGACTTCAGTTCCCAGCCGAGTGACTCAGAGAATGGTGATGGTTCACAAACAAATGGGAGAATCAGGAGGTCGGCTGGGGTGCAGGTTGCTTAGGTTGGGTTTCAGGTGCTGTTGTTTGGGAAAGGAGACGAGAGGATGAACAGTGCCAGGGAGGTCCCAGAGAACTCAAGTGGAAGAAAACACATGTAAGTTGTTCGCTAGGAGGCCATTGTGGCCCCTGGAAGGACCAGCTTCAGGAGTTAAATCCAGGTAACTTGGAGAAACCAAAAGCACCACTGTTCCCTGGACCCAGGGACCTCCATCTGCTCAACAGGGGCCAAGCTGTGCACTCCCTGAAGCTCCTGCTAGCTCTGATGTGCTGCATTTAAATGATGACCCGCTCAGCTGTATAATAATAATTATACTAAAGATGTTTCCCAAGGGGAGAAATGATGCAAACACAAGAGAGAATTTAGGGTCAGGGTGCATGAGAAAAATAAAGATAAGATTAAAAAATGAGTTGTGAATGCTGCAAACCCTCTTTACTTTTTACTAGTTTTTTTCCACACTCATCACTTCCCAAGTGAGAGCTGCTCCTCAGAACTCCACAAGTTTTGTCCCATCCTGACTTTTTCCGTGATTCTAGGGCATCTCATCAATCACCAGTGTCCTTTTCATTTACCATTTGTGCTCCTCAGCAGCACCCAGCAACTTCTTTCTCATCACTGATGGTGAAGCGCCACACAGTAGACCAGGAAAACACTGCCCACCCCCCTCCAGACCCACAGTTTTATGACTTGGGGAGTCCGCCCAGCAATACCAAGACAAGGGGGGCAAACCTGCCCCAGTGTCTTTCCATCAAAAGCCACCTCTGGTTCATGCCAAATCAGTACCCTAAGAAACACTTTTTGTTCATTTTAATGGGCCAAATGGAAAACCAAGCCAACATTTCCTCTTAACATTGAACTCGAGGAAGATGAGCTGGAGCCCATGACTCCCCCACCTCTGCCAGCGACCACTTCCCTGTATGAACAGCACAGTGCCACACACCGGGTAGTGAGCAGAGGGGAAATGCATCTTAAATTGGGATTGGGATTCTGTGAAAGACAACTGCAGGGCGCTAATACCGGCAGTGACGGTGAACACTTCATGCAGCACCGCGTACTCACACACTCACGGTCACTCACACACGCAGCCAGTTAGACACTCGGACATGCATATCTTGTCACACACACACACACACACACACACACACACACACACACACACACACACAGTACCTCTCTCGTTACACATCCAGGACCATCCATGCAGTCCACACATGTATCTGGTTACACACAGGGTTATAGATGCACAGCCTATGTTCCTCTCTTTCATTCTCTCCCTCTCTCTCTCCCCCCTCTCTCATTCACACACACACACAC